AAATTTTTTGTTCTGAGTAAACCTTAGTAGGAGCTACTATTGATTAAAATATTGAGCTTCCTATTCTAGAAGTGTACGAGATTGAGTCGCTGAAAGTTTTCCTTAAATGAAGGGTAAATAACCACAGTTTAACATAGTTCACTGTACGAAACCTAAGATTTAAAGCCTATAAGACGCTAATTTTAATGTTGAATACAAATATGATATCTGTTATTCATCATAATGTTGAAAGATAATGAAAATATTCGAAAGAGACTCGAAAAGGTACATGGTTTTGACAGCTCATTCGGTATTTTCACTTTTTTTTTTACAATTGACCTGAAGTGACTTACATAAATGATGTCGATATTTTTTTTTTTGCTGAAAATAGAGAGTATTGGTGAAACCATTGTCTGAAAAATAGAATTCAATTATTCTTCGGATGCGTATTTTTCTTGGATGAACTTCTTTGAGTATTGCCATTATTCAGCTACACAGCATGTTTGTCATACAAATGATTTTCCTTCACCGTCCATTCTTCTTTTAAATGTTTCTGCAAGTACATAATTATTCTTAAAACCGATTTGGCTATTATTTTTGTTCTTTAGCGCTATTGAGAAATTAAAAGGAGCCTAATATTAAGTTTTAAATTTCGAGTTTTATACAATGAGCTTTGTTGAACTGTAGTTATTTATCCTTGATTTAAGAAAAACTTGTAGCAACTTAATTTCTTAGAAACCTGGAATGGAATGTCTGATATTTTAATCATTAGTAAAATCTATTGGAATTTACTCAAAACAAAAAAGTTTCAAGAAGTTTTGGTTTGTACTTGTTTAGGAAATCCTGGACTAACATAGATTTCTAGAGACTTCTCGGACTCTTGAAATCCGTATATCTAAAGAAACGAGTACTTTCGAGAAATACGATATCTTAACTTCGCATAAGCATAGTATAATCTTCATTTTCATCATAATTTGGAAGGATAGGACACGCTTCGAATCAAAGCTAAATATTAATCTCTACACAACTTGAACATTCGTTTTCTTTTTGTAGGTTTCCCTCTGAAGTATCACTCGAATCACTTATGACACCAAGTAATCAAACTAGAGTAATAACATCAAAATTAGGTGGTTCATTACATTCATCACCATCTTTGAATTCATTTGATAAAATCAGTTTAATATCAAATAATTCTTTTCCACAACGTCAACAATCAATACATAATCTGAACAAAAAAGTAAATAGATTTTATTGTTCTTTTATTTCTATTTTTAAACTCTTGATATTATTGCCTTTTTAAGAAAATACATTCAAGTCATTCACGTTCATCATCTGCATCAAGTTTTCTTACAAAAGAAAGCTCAAGCCAAGGTTATATGTCTGCTCAAGGTTCACCTACAACTAGTCTTGCTAATTGTACTTTGAATACCGTAGAAAACGATACACTTATTGCTAAAGTACGACTGGTCGGTAGAGATGAACTACTATATAAAAAAATTCGAGTAAGTAAAAATTGATTATATTCAAAAAAAGAAAAAAATCCAGTATTTCTTTTTTTATGATATTTCCAAAAAGCATGTCAATGCATAGAAACATTGCAATAAAAATTCTACTAAATTTTGTAAAGCACGATCTAAAACGAGTATTAAAATATAGAGATGAAAATTTGCCCTCTCTTCTTACTCTTGAATCACAGACCGCATATGAATATGATCTCGTTATAAGATATGAACTACTTGCTTATGGTATTTCCGAAGGATTAAATAGAAGGATGATCAAGAAATATGCCCCAAAGTAGATGGAATAAAATAATCTCCCTGTGGCTAGCATGAGCGACTAGATCGTGTTTCATATTTTAACTTCACAGAGATTGCACCAACAGCTTTTATAGAATAATAGTGAATGATCGAAAAGAAATTAGGCAAACTGTTCATTCGTTTTTTTTTAGTTTTCTTAAAGAAGCCTGTAGAAATTTGAAAGCATTGAGGTAGAATGAGAGTTTTGTTTTCTTTCCAAATATGGATTCAACTTTCTTTGTACGACTTCCAGTTCAAGAGTTATGTATGAGTCGATCTTCTAGAGACATGTAAATTAAGTTTCGACAAACTGTAGGACGCCATAACTTATCCAAAGTAGAAGTAAAGATTATTTCAAATACAACGAATGAAAGAGTAAATATTTCTCAATAAAATAGTATATTAATAATTAGTTATCTCTAGATTATTTGTTAATAGCAAGTGTTTGGGTAAGAAAAACCGTGTTCATTGCGGTAATCTTCTCGATTTCTATGGCAAAACAAACTTTCAAAATTCGTGAATGATTGTTCTAAAACTCTTGACTGTTATAATACTTTGCAGAAAATAATTTTGCCTTTAATTCTATGAAGAAAAAAATCGATAATATCTGTATGCAATAAAGGAGACTAACGTAGCAAGCGCAATGTCAATTTTCTCCGTATAAACTTAATTTTCGTACCTCTAAAATGTCAGCTCATAACTACTTAATCAGAAATCCTACAAAAGTTTGAAAGTCATATTTGGAAAGAACACAATATTTCAATTTTAACTCAATGTTGTCAAAATTCTGTAGACTCTTTTAAAAAGCGTAGCCGATGAATGAGCACTTTGACCAATTACTTTTCAATCACTTTTTATTAAAAAAATATAATTATTATTTGAAATAAAGCAATGCAATAATAATCTTATAATAGGATTTCTAAAGATTTTTATCCATGAACTATTGTAACTTGAAGATTAGAAACAATTCATTGCATAAAAATTTCAATACTTCTGAAAATTTATTATCTTTCATTATCCAATATTTCTTGTTTATTGTTCATACGAACTGAAATAAATATTTAGCTAAATTGTAAAACTTTCAATAATATGTTCATAATTTGATTTTCAAACTAAATTTCAAAATAAATATCAGATTGTAGATGGAAACTTTTATCGATTATCTTTTCCTTCGCTTCATTACATTCTGATTCAATTTTTGATAATACTATTTTTTTTTCAATATGAATGCGTGTTTAATGATATTAACTAGAAAGTCTATACATAAACAAGGCTATTTCGACTGCGAAGTGTCGGCAATATGATGTCTTACTATCATACAAAATTTCTTGTTATTTTCTAGCAACGTCTAAAATTGTTCTTGCGTCCTCTTACAGCAAAAAATGTTAACACCCGTTCAATGTGAGCCGCCTCGAGCAAGCTTTTCACATAAGCTGTTTTCAATTTTTATTAAGGAGAAATTAGCTGTTTCTTGAGTTTTGACAAGGATCTATATAGAAGAGAAAAAAAGATAATGACACCTTCGATTATGTATATTTATCTAATGAAAGAAAAACAAAAATAACATGTTTTATTTCCGTCATTTGGATTCTAATATTTGCAATATATAAATATTTATAGATTGGAAACAATGAACGAACATCTAATGTATTGAAAACTATTCTGGATAAATTTGGTCTTGATCCATCAACATATGATAATTATTGCATTGAACAACAATTACCTAGTCGAAGTAAAATTTGATTTCTTTTTTTATTCGTATTTTTAGTATTTATTTATTTATTTATTTATCTTGATTTATTAGCACTTGTTTTGATGGATCATTGTAATGTATTTTATGCTTTGGTTCGTCAATCCGATGATGAACAAGTTGAATTAATTGTACGAAAAAAAGGTCGACAAGAACGTGAACAAATAAAAAATCGTTCTTATTTCAATACAAGCCATAATCGAACACCGAGTGGATTAAGCATATCTTCGACTCATAGTCGTTGAAGGAAAAAATTTCGACTTGTACATAATCGGCTTTTTTTCTCTTTTTTTTTACACAGTGAACCCTCTATATAATATTTTCTATTCATTATATTAAATCTCTCTTGTTTTTCTTTTCATACCAATCATATTTTCATTCCACATATTGTGAACAAAAAAAAGAAAGCAGCTAATTTTTATGTATCTAACTATATTCTATTGAGGGTTATACGCTTCGTTTGTTTTTAATTTTTGTACTGTATGCATATGTGTTATTTAACAGAAGAAAAAAAGAAAGATAAAAGATTTGAATAATCTATTTATTCATAGTGAATATGAAGAAGAAAAAGAAAAGAAAAAGAAATTCAGATTGATGTAGCATATCAAATAAATATAAGAGAGAAAAGAAGAATGCACGACAAAACAGAAGGGCTATCCTAGTCTATCTATTCACCACTTACATAGAAAAAAAATAAGAAAGCACTATTTGGCATTCTGTTTCCTTTCATTATAATCGTTCTTTTGCATTCGTGATTTCTAGTGTTCAATAAAGATAAAAAGCACAACAACAACAATAAAAGAAACCATTCCATTTGTATAGGATAGAATACGTAAGTATATTAGTCGAATAAAATTTCTTTGAAGAAAAAAAATTACAATAAAGTTTCTACAATTTTCGTAAAATAATTTGAACTTATTCATTAATGATTATATAAGCCAATTATCAAGACTACAAATTAGATGCTCATTAACAATGATCAATCTATTTATTTGTTTTGTGATTTAGACGTTTTTATTTGTCGATATATTATTCTTTTAATCTTATTCATCTAGATAAACCATATGGGAATAAGATATAATGAAGAATAACATCGTTTAGTTAATCAGTAGCCTGTAAACATGATATAAAAGTTTTTTTTTCATATTTTAATAATGATAACTTGTTGTCATCGTCAAGTAACATCTATTTGTCATCTTTTTTTTTGTTGAGCAACGTACGTCTTTATTCTAAGAAAAACACATAAACTTTTTCGACCAATCAATAAAAAGCTATGGATTAGTTTTTTTTTAATTAGATTCTTTTTTTCCTTTCGCTGAGATTATTTGTCTCTTATATTAACTTGAGCATTTTCAAGAATGGAATAATTTTGTTTCATCACACATTGTGAACTCATATTTGTTTCTTTAATTTCCACTTCAAGGAAAAAAAGTAAAAGAAAAAATTTACTAGTACTTCTTTTTTTTAGTTTGATAATGTCCAAATACGGAGAAGAAAAATATCGACATAAAATTTCATTAGGAAAAACTAATGATTTAACATCAAATAATAATGATTCAACACATCGATTATCTATTCATATTAGACAAGGTCATAATAAATTTTGGTCAGAATCAATTTTACCATTATTATTATGTATTGCATGTCCATTTTTTATTCGATCCATTGTTTTCATATGTGATTATTGTCATGGATCAATTATGGAATTTTTTTCACGTATTCTATTTGATCAAACAATGACATTAAAACATGTATTAGTTAATTTTTTCTATTTTCAATGGCATTGGCCATCAGCATGTATTATTATATCATTTTTAATATATGCTGTTATTATGACAATGTTATTACCAGGTGATGAATATGCTGGACCAATAACCGATACAGGTCATGTACCAATTTATCGTAATAATGGTTTTACTTATTATGTTATATCATTGATTTTATTTGCATTATTAACAATAATATTGAAATTAAATAATTATTCTCCAACATATATTTATGATCATTGGGAAGAATTTCTTTCAACTGTTAATACATTTGCATTTCTTTTATGTTTTTTTGTTATACTTAAAGGTAAATATATGCCATCAACAAATGATCATCGATCATCATCAAATTGGTTAACAGATTTTTATCGTGGTGTTGAACTTTATCCAAGAATATTTAATATTGATATTAAACTTATAACAAACTGTCGATATGGCATGTTATCATGGGCACTTTTATGTATTATTTTTTGTATGAAAACATTTGAACTTCATGGTTATACCGATAGTGCATTAGTTACATGTTTATTAATACTTGTTTATTTAACAAAATTTTTTTGGTGGGAATCTGGTAAGTTCATTTTGTTATTTGATAAAAACCAGAAATGTATAATGAAATAGAAAATACTGGAGGTGATTGTCGTTTGTTTTTATTTCTCTAATAAGATAGAATAAAGATTGCTTCAAAAATCGCCTGTTGAACATAGTTATGTTTTCACTTCTGTCAATATGATTAGTAGTAGTAAAATCTAAATGAGTTTCCTTTAATGTAATTTTATCTGTAGATATTTTTGTTTCGTCTAATTCTGTCAAGATAATAATACTCACATCTAACGGAAATGACTCCTGGATAGTTTTCAATTATCATAGTTAAAAAGATCTATTCAAAACAACCGATAATATACTCTTTCAACTAGAAATTTTCTATCTATCCAAATAGAAGCAGAATGATGATGAGCTGAGCATACTTGATTTTAATGAATGTCTACATTTCTTACATATTTGATGTTTCATATCGAACGCATATGACATATCTTATTTTTATTATGATTGATATTAATAATAAGAGAAGAAAAATTATTGTCTTTTAAGAAAGTTTTGATGTGTATTTAGTATATCAAAGGAGTGACAGCGATGGAGGTTCTGTAATATTAACTATTCAACTCAAGAATCTTGAATATATATAATGACATGGTAAACTAGAATTTTAACAGCCGGAATTTCGTCATCCGAGTTCTAACAGTTTGTCTAATTTCCGCCAAACTTTTGACAATAAAAAGATTGTCAGTATTTCGACGAGAAATGAGACAAATTGTTGGTATTGTAGTTTCAGCTTTCTTTCAATGAAGAGAAATTCTTCATAAATTTTCTCTACTCTCAAAAAATAAAATAAACAGTTTTGGAATTATATACATCTTACAAAAACCAAAAGAGAAGCAATGCTACTACGCACTGAAAATAATACTGTATAAAAAAATAAATTAGTTTCATCAATCATCGGATAATACTAATAGTCTCTTAGTACTTGATCATTACAGAAATGATTTATCACAACTGAGCCACGAATAAAAAAAAATTTCATATTAAATAATTTTCAATTTTCTTATAAAATAGAATAACGAAGTTTTATAACTTCTTACTTTGTGCTTTCGATCGTTTCGTTACGACATATGGTAAACAGTTTGTTATGTAGGAAAAACAAAACAAAGGTTAACTTAAACAGTGATGCAAGCAGTCAAAATGCTCTAATACTATCCATATGTGGAGGACGTAACAAAGTAAAACAAAACATAATTTCCGACATATGCATGTTGAAAGTATCAAACAAGAAGCAATTGGATTGTACTCTGTTGAGCAAGCAAACTTTGCACTCTGTACATGAACTTTGTGACTTGATTGCTATGAAAGAAAAGCTTTATTAGTTTATTTTCTACATGAAAAAATTTCCATGTAGTGAATAATCCTTCTAATATTTTCTCTTAGGCGAGTGAGTACGCATAGGTACATTTTACCGATTTGATTGATGCTTTCTTTTTTGTCTTATTATGAGAGTTGAGACGAGAATAAAATGAAAGTTTTGAATAATTATTTCTATTTAGGTTATATGAAAACAATGGATATTATTGTTGATCGTGCTGGTTTTTATTTATGTTGGGGTTGTCTTGTATGGGTATCGGGTATCTATACTCTTCCATCATATTTTCTTGTTACACATCCAAATAAATTAGGAGCCTTTTTAACTATGACTATTCTTACATTGGGTCTTATGTCAATTTTTATTAACTATGATTGTGATCGACAAAAAATCTATGTACGATCAGCTAATGGTCAATGTAAAATATGGGGAAAACAAGTTAATATAATTCGTGCTAAATATGTTTTATTAAATGGTAAAGAATGTGAAAGTATACTTTTGGCATCTGGCTATTGGGCATTATCAAGACATTTTCATTATGTACCTGAATTAACATTAGCTTTTCTTTGGACATGTCCATGTGGTTTTCATTATATTTTACCGTATATTTATTTTATATTTCTCTATATATTACTTATACATCGATCGCATCGTGATGACCAAAAATGTCGACTTAAATATGGTGTAGCTTGGGATAAATATTGTCAACTTGTTCGATGGAAAATATGTCCAGGAATTTATTAATGCTTACACAAGAGGATGATCTTTTATGCCTTGTACTTTTTATGGCAAGTTTTTTTTTTCGTTCGTAAACTAGCAAGAAACATATGAAAGCAAAACATATTGACTGTTTGAAAACAAGCAATATATATATAGAAATAGAACAAATTAAACATTTGTTGATGTTGTTTTTGGTTGTTGTTATTGCTGTTGTTGTGTATGAAAATAGATTTATTTGTTGTTATAATTTATCACAATTTATTTATCACTGTGCATGATGTCTAGTTGTGCGATATAGATCTAATGGACTTAATTCTTCACCACTAATTTTACATCTAAATGGGTGAGGCGGAACAGGTAATGATAAGGATAATGGAGCTCGTAAACGTGCTAAATCAGTATGAACAATAAAAAGACGATTTTTTAGACGATTATATAAAGATATATCAAATGAATGACGATGAGCTTCACGGTAAAAGCGACGTAAGAAAAGACGATCAGTCATTGTCATATATTCAAAATCAGCACGTGTCATTAGATGGAATGCATAGATTGCCATTACAGTTCCATAAGCAATAAAATAAGAAATCGGTTCTACAATATCCCATGAATAAACAGCCCATGTAAGTTCAGCTAAAACACCAACTTGAAAACACATTGCTGCTAGACCATACCATATACAACGTGTTGTATAACGTTGACATATTTGAGCTAATTTATTTTTAACCTATTCAAACAAACAAAAAGAAACCAAATCCATACATGTAAAAACATTCTTAATTGATTCACTTTTTCTAAGGGTTCCAGTTGTGTTGTTAAAGTATTGGCTTCATTTTTTAATTCAATATATTTTTCATGATAAACTTTCATTACATTTAATGCATAATAAAGTGCTGCTACCGTATCTTCTGTTGATGGTCCATCTGTTTTCATTGGTCTTATCATAGCATCTTTTACTTGTAATTTATTGATTGGATCAAAAAGAAATACTTTTTGTTGATTTAATTGTATTGTAAATGATGATTGCATAAGAGAGTTTATTGTATATGATTTTGATAATATATGACCTTTTTCATCATATACATGAACATGTTCAATACCAGCATCTTCTTGTTTTATTTCATCGATGAGTTGACCAACTGTAGCTGTTTGTAAATTAAGATGAAATCGACATGTTTCTTGACGTGATGGTAATATCAATGATAAAACAAGTACACTATCAGAATAAGATAATGTTGACTCTAACAATATATATTTATATACATAAATAGAATTAATATTACTTTCTTTTCCTTCCGTTTACCTGATATAATCGATGGTTTACTTGAAATAGAAATTGTTCGAGAAATTCTCGAAATAGTAGCTGTATTAATAATCGAACGTATAAGTGAATTAAAGCGCATATTGTACAGATATATTCTATTATATGAATAAAGTTTAACACTTGTATTATACTATACTTAGCTTTGAAAAAATGTGTTGTTGAAAATAACTATTTTAGAAGTAAGGCTTCTTGACCAAATTTTTCTTTTTTCTTCTTGCTCTTTCCTTGTTTGCATTTGTCGTCTCAAACAAGAAATATTATCGTAGGAAGAATAATTATGAGGTAAACGCACATACATAAAACCTTCAGAACGAGAAAAAAAAAGAAACATGTTTTGTATGTTTTTTTTTGTGTTCTTTTTTTTCTTTCTTTTCCAGTTATATGTCATCATAACTGATATGATTTTACCATTGGTTTGGTAACAGTGACAGACAGTTTGTTTCTATGCATGATATGTAGATGATATATCGCCAATGCAAAATTCATAGAATATACTTTTGTTTATCTGTAGATTATCATGCTATGATTAGGTGATAAACAGAAAAAATTGTTTATAAAAGATGAGAAAAATTGTTTAGAATTTTCTTTTTCTTTTTTATATATTTGAGTGACTTTGAATAATCTTGATGTAACTGGTGGTAAAATAGTTTGCATATGTATGAGAATGAATAGATTGTCTGATTATTTATACAGATTTTTATCAGTATTCATATACATGTAAACCTTGGAGAATAAGAAAAAAACGAATCACTTTTTTGTACTAGTTATGTGAATAGAGACAATTATGTTTTTTGTTATAGTCAACAAATGTCAAAACAAAATTATTTTCTGTACTGATCACTACTGACTAATGACAAATGAAGTATTAATAGACAGTACAAATGTATGCAATATATTCGATTATACAATTTTCAATCAAAAAAATAAATGAGATTATTGTAAGAGGAATATTGTAACGATAAAAACCGTTTCTTTTTCTGGATGAGATACCTACTCTACGAGTGGTACTTCAGTTTTGTTTTTAAATAAAACTTTACACTGTAAAATGTAATTACTTTATGAAAGTATTTTACTGTTAAGGCGCCTACTGCTAACATCTACCAAATCAATAGAGGAAAAAAAAACCCTATTAGCGCAATTCTCGCGTGATGAAAATGCAAAATATGATGCAGCTGTTTTTGATGATTACAGAGAGTTTGTTTTATTCTATCTATTTCGGGACACATTTCTTCATCATCATTTTACTTAATGCTCCAGGCATACAATGAGAATGCAGTTCTTATATTATAACGAGATGTTATTTTTATATTGTCTTTGATCTTATATCAAAATGCCTGTCGATTCCGACTACCATAGTCTGTGAGGAGAGATGCAAATTTCTATCTTTTTGTATTTGAGAAGTTCGTTTAGATCATGTTTTAAAAAAAGAAAAATAATTATGTGCTAATTTTGATTGATGAATCCATGAGGATAAATTATTAGAGTTCTGCAAAATAATTCTTTTTCGTTATTGTGACTCTTGGTTGTTTTTCTCCGTAAAGCTAACTACATAACTGTCTGATAGAACTCAAGTAGAGATTGTATTATGTGAAGTACTTGTGTCAGTTGATTGCATTTAGTGATATTGATTTACACTCTTACTCTAATTTTCTTGTATTACTTGTTTCCTGTTCATTCTTTCGTCTCTATAGAAATGACCTTCAAAAATCCTTATTAATAGAAATGGATTGTTCATTAAATTAAGAACTTAAAACATACTTCACCATTAGGGTTATTGTTAACCTATGCGAGCACCCATAAAAGAAAGGCAAACATAGATTTTATCGTACGAACACGTAGAGCTTCTTGAGTTACATTTATAAACATCCTGACAATTCAAGTTGTTATAGTAACTACGAACACTGCAAAGGTAACAATAAAAATTAACAAAACATTGGTTTTTCTCTCTCTTTTAAGAAAAAAAGAAGATATTTCAGTGAGAAACAGGTTTAAAGCGATTTCTTATAGTCTATAGACAATCTGCAAACAATACTTTTTCTTGAGCATAAATTCTTTCAAAAAAAAACCCACTATTTTTACGTACTTCCATAGGAGTATTGAAACAAAGAGTGATTTTTTGAAAGCATTTATGCTCAGGAGAAAATAATGTTTGCTTGAAGAAATGATAGAATTACCAGTGATTATAAATTTTCATATATTTTTGTGAATGCTCTTATGGTATTCTTGGGCGTCCTCATGTACTTAAAATAAGTTAGTGAACGATATTTTCTTGAAAATTTACTGAAAGGCAATGTTCATGAACATAACTTACGGTGTTCTACATATTTGTAAGACCAAATTAGTATTTGTTTTCCCTCTGTGACGTCTGTGAATGTTCGCGTACTTCACTAATATCCCATGAGTAATGTCATAAAAGAATGACAAACATAATTACATAAATATAAGTAAGAATAATCAGCGTGAGTGTTTTCGATTTGGTGAAACCAGATTTTAGATAAAAAAAAAAGTAATCACGACGTATTCTCATGAAATTGCTAATTTGATCGCTATACATATCTTTATGAATCGGTGCATAATTGATAAGAAAACAGAATATAATCAAAAAGAAAAATAATCGAATATAAATACTATCTTTTGATGATAACGGTAGAATCGAAGAATTTACAAAACATTCGACTAATATATTTTTGTGAAAGATATTTAGTTTTCGTTAGCAAATTCTTATCGAGAGAAGAATTTTCAAATTGTACCTAAATTCGAAATAGCAAAGAAAATCTTTAAACTAATCATAGGCACATTACGAGGTGGCATTACTAGACGAAAAAAAAATGTTTATGAAGCTAATATTGGGCTTCATTTTTCAAGATGACCTCAACTAATCATTTTTTCGATATTGATTCAATACTCACAGTGTATCATTGTTGGAAAGTAAGAAAACAAAAAATGACAAATTTAAAAAAAACAATAAAACTTTTACAACGCTTTTTTTTGTAATAGTCTCGTTACGACACTCCATATAGAAACCAATCATATCACAATCATCAAGATCGAATGAATGACACGAATATGAGAAATCAAGCCAGTATGAGTTTTTGACAATAGGTGTCGGTATTGTAATTTCATCCTTCGGATAAAAGTAATCAAAAATACATCAGATGAATAATAAAGTCTCATCGTTAATTAAATTTACACAACTAACACAAATACCTATGATTTTTATAAAACTTGACGTAAAATAAATGTTTTGAAGTAGAATATTATACCTTATCAGAGATTGATGAAGCATATACGTAAGACAAATGACATGTGTGTGTCTATTTTACATGAATATCCTTCTTTTGTTGCATTATATTGATCATGACAAAATGAGTAGAAAACAAGTTTCGTTGTTTTTCTATTTAAAATCAGTTAATTTTCTAGTTAAATATAAGACTGTATGTGTTCGCTTCTTGTATGTATTGGATCTTTTTTGTCATTTCAAATAGTTCGTTTAATATTCAATTACTATTTATTTTGATTTATTGTCTAAAGAAACAAAATTGAATTAATATACACAACAAAAGACGATATTCTTAATTAATATCGTCGTAAATCATCCACAAAGATGATTTATTGCATGATTCTACAAAAATCGCTAATACAGTATAATTTATTTTTTCTTTAATTTTACTTTTATATTTTTAAATGTAATATTATTAGT